AGCAGAGGGACCGCGGTTCAATCCCCCAGCACCACATGCCAGCCAGCCCCGCCCCCTGGTGGGCTGAGCTGGCCACACACACACACACACACACACAAATAAATAAATAAATAAATAATTTTGGTTGCTCTTACAGTGAAGATTCTTTTAGGACTATAGAAGATAGAAATAATGTATGACATTACATTACTTAAATACAGATTATTAGATGATTGGGGCCTTGCTTATCATAGTAAGTTTGGTGAAAGACAAGAACCAACCACTAATGGGTTTGTTCTGCACTGTAATATCACAACACTGCCTTCTAGTAAGTACTACAGTGCTTGATTTTTATCAGTTATCTTAGTGCAATCCAAACTCACTGTCATAAAGTAAATCTCATGTGTCCGTCAGAGGGCAAAAATATATTGTTCAGTCATAAACTTATCACAGCTGTTGTTCTTGTTACACTAAGTATGGTGAGCTAATAAATGTTTCCTCCATCTTCCTATATGCTTTGAACTTTAAGACACCTCATATTTCATCTTCCTTTGCAATGAAGTAGGGATCATAGGTAACGTCCTTTATCATTCTATTGTGTTTGTACCTTGCTCCCAAGAAAGGGCTGAGGAAGACCACATATAATCTAACGTCACTGCCACTGTTACATTAAAAATTCTCACACTATTTTGGGCAAGGGAGAAAATCAGATAATCTAATAGCACTGTCATTGTTACAATTCATTCAATTCTAAAACCACGATCACATTTGAAAAATTACTCGAAAGGGTACTGCCAATAAAAGCACGTGTAAAACTGGATCTTTCTGAAGGTCTTCAAGTAGAGTAAGTCATGCATGTCCTTTCTTTGGAAAGATCTTTTAGGATGAAATGGAATTTCATTGGAAACAGATCTTTCTAAAGGTTCTTTCTGGTTGCATTTATTCATAAGGTCCTTTGGAATCAAACAGTATCATGCCTAGTTAATGTAAATATAACTCAACGTTGTCTGTTTTATGACAATTGAGCAGTTACTTCTCCTTGGTGCTTTACTGAGTTTGTGAATGACTCCTAGTGCTTTCGGCTCTATAAACATTCATTTCAAAACTATATAATAATAGCAAATGTGTGAATACGTCTATATGTTAGGTACTGTGGTGTGTTCTGAATGCCACAAGAGTATTAACTCCTTTAAATATTTAAATATTCCAAGGGATTTTTATTTTCAATAGGTCCTCTACTGATTCATTTGCTCATGTAAAGCAAATAATCCCCTGTAAAAGTTCAGGCTTTTATTTATATGATTCAAATTATATACAGATGTACAATTTTTCAAGTAATGTTAACTTTATACAATCAGCTGCAATCTACTTGCACATACTATGTATGTATCAAAAGTCCTCCCTGAGAACTCTTTACAGTCAGAATAACCCTAAGACATAAATATCATATCGCTCTTTACATTAATAAAACTAAATTTCAGACAAGTAAGAAGCTTCCCTGGTATATGTATGAGCTGAATTCAAACTTGGGTCAGGACCTCCAAATCTACTACATTAATGCATATTTTAATTCTCCCTTGCCCAAAATAGTAAGAGAATATTTGGCGCGCCCCTTTTAGACAGGCAGATTTCTAGCCACAGCCTACATGAGGATGGAGGTGAAAGTTAATATTTTCACTGTCCTGTGTGAGGGAAACAGCCTAATTTTGACACCAGTCCTACTGACAACTAGGGGCATAGGCATGGACTTAATCCAAAGGGCTTTGTTTGTGTTAAAACGTCTAAAAAGGACAAAAGTTCTCACTACTGAGTCTCACATGTAGAAGACCATAAGCCTGGATCACACAATACATAGAACCTGTGCGCCATGGTGCCTAAGAACTTAGGCCACAGGTCCTACTCCAGATGTCACCGCCCCCACGTCCATCAGGCACAGCCTGTGGCCAAGAGCAAGGTCAGGTACAACAAGTCCCCAATGGTCTCTACCTTGCCATTTCTTCTTGTTTCCCTCCGTGCTGACAGGAGGGATTTTCTGTTCTCTTTGTGTTTGTACGGAACCTCCCACCTTGGCCCCGTGTTGCTTCATTACCAGCGAAGGCTCACGAGATGCTGGCTGAGGTGGAGAAAACTGGACCAGACTCAGTTTTAAACCAGCTTGAAGCAGGGACTCATTCCCACCTTTGGACAAAGATCAACGTATGGCTGGAAAGTAAACTCCCTTCTGCTCCTACCTTCACTTTGTGCGACCAGGGGGCTGGGGTATCGTTTCATGGAAATGTTTTCAACAATTCCCAGTAAATGGACTCAAAATAATCTGGCTGTTCTGCCTTAGCCGAGTAAGTGATACATAATCACTATTCACTGAGGCCACATCTTTCCAATGTTATTTTTAATGGTTTTCCCTAATACTAATACCTCTCAGAAAGAAGAAAAAAGAAAAACATGCTACAGATAAGTGTCTCTAAAGCTTTAACTGTGCATTGGGTTGTTTTGTTTTTTTCTTCCCCCTCTAGATTCTACTAGAGGGGAAAAAAATTGTAAAGTCTGCTTCAGCAGACCCTTCAGAGGGTCGGTAGACAGATGCTCAAAGGCATCCTCAACACAAGCACATTGGCACAAGTCTCCTCTGTCAAATGTCACTGTGGGCCTTTATAAAATAAAACAGTGTGGAACAGAGAGGGAAAGCCCAGCACTAACTCAACACCACGAAGCACCAAGCCTCTGACCCATGCCTCTGCTCCTGACTCCTCCAGGTCCTTCTCCTCCCTTCCTTCCTGTGTCTAACCGATGCCTGCCTCGAGGAGACGGGGATGGCAGTCAGGAAAGGCAATAACTAAAATCCTCAATGCTGCACAATTCCCCAGGGAGTTGCATGCAGTTCACGAAAGTAGTAAAGCAGTCATCAATGCAAAGTGGTAACACAGTTCCCCGAGGGTCTTGCAGTGGCCCTCCACCCCTCTTCCTTCCCTACTCACCCCTGTGGGCGTCCATCTGTCGCAGACAGTGCGAAGGCACTAGGACCACAGAGCCCTCGCCTGCTCTGTGCTCGAGAAACAAAGCTTTCCCTCCTCCCAAGTTGAAAGAAAGAAAGGAGTCTGAGCTAATCAGAGCCCGCAAGCCTGCTGCCCAGGCTTCTGCAGCGGTGCAGCTCAGCGGAGAGAGCAGTGGCTTCGAGCTTGGTGGAGAACGAGAGAGGGAGAGAAGACAGACAGAAACACACAGAGAAAGAAAGAGAGAAAGAGAGGCATTAACCTGGCCAGGAGTCACACAAGCTTTCTGGGGCCCTAGCTAGGAGAATAGCTCCTGGCACCCTGAATGCAGTGGGGCTGTGCCTATGGGGGGCTGTGCTATTGCCTCACAAGGCACTGTTGGGGTTTGTACTACGTCACAGTGAATGGGAAGACAACTATTTTCCTCCTCTCTGGGATACATGTGCTTGGCTGAGGGCTTGTAAATTTCCCGTCTGTCTATCTGCCTGCCTGCCTATTGTCTGTCTGCCTGCCTGTATGTATGTCTGTTTGTCTATCTGAAGTCTTCACAGACATTCTCTGACTCTGATGAACTCACCAAGAGAGAGAAGGGATCAGCCAGGTCACTGAGCATAAACAGCTCCTCCCTACCAGCCACAGATTTGGGGACAGCCTTGGAGAGGGTGAACCTGTGGGTACAGGGGCTGTCACACTGCAAGGGACAGCAGTGTGCTTCATGGAAAGGCAGCCTCTGGTCTGACCTGGCTGCATAGCCCCTTTCCAGACTCCTCCAAGTCTCTGCACTTGAACAGCCCCGAGTTCACAGGTGCACCCTCTTAGAACTGGCTGATCTGGCCACCTAGGCGTGCAGGACTGTGCCACCCCTCTGCAGTGTGATTTACAGGTAGGTGTCAGGAGCAGAAAGGAACAAGCAGGGGAAGCCCTGGCATGGACCCTCAGGAGAAGACCCCATCCCTGGGATACAATCTGTCAGGACTCCAGCTGGGCACTATTGATTACATCGTAAGAGATGGGTGCCATCTCTACTGGGTTTCCCATCTGCTGATTTACAATGTCCCAGGGTTTGCTGACCCTGGTCTTCAGAAGATCTGGGTGCCTCTTTTCATGCCCTGGCCCACATGCTCCTAACTGTGACATGGAGGACACGGATGAGACAGGCTTGGCCCATCCCACTCTCCCAGCTCCTGCATAGGGCTGTGTTTCTAGTTCAAGCTTGGTCTTTACCTGAAATTCGCCTGGGCACGTCGGTGATGGCAGGAAGCCCAGTGCCCCGCGTGGAAGACAGCGGGGTGGTGGAGTGGATGGACGGGGGTGTCAACTGGTTCAGGTACGAAGGGTAAGACTGGTCATAGGACCAGGGCGGGGACGACTGCGCCTGCCTGGGGTCTGGGAAAGAGAAGAAACACATCTTCAGTACACCAGAGCGGCAGCCTCAGCAACATGCCCTCCCCAAATTAAACAGGGTAAAGCAGAAAAAGTGGGAACATAATAAGGAACGACTACATCCTACCCCCTCACCCTTCATGCTCTCGACAGGCTTTTCTAGACTTTCAGTCACAAAGAGACACCAAACCAGATCACACGAAGGACAATTTGTCTCTCTTAGACACAAATGTTTCTATTTGGAAAGTTTAATGGTCATTTAGAAAGCAATTCGCTTTGGTTATTTTTACAAAGTGGAATCTATTTATTTTCCCTATTCTCTAAAATCCCTCTGCTGAACATGTTTTACTAATTTTTTAAAGTTAGAAATTAGTTTTCGAAAAGTTAACTTGTAGAATTGAAACATGGAAATGGTGCTTTTCACTGGGGCATATCCATCTTTCAGACTTGGATTGGGGTTTTACAGTCATGGTTCCAGCACAGGCTACCTTTTCTTTCTAATATGAGGCTGGGAGAGGTCGAAGGATAGGGCAGCATAGAGCACGAATAGAACGGAAGCGGGAGGGCGGTGCAACTCTCACGCTGCAGCTAAAGCAGAAATTACCTTCAAGAAAAACACAGATGATTTCGACATTAAGAAGATGGCCCCAAACAGGAAAATGCTTTCAATGCTATTGAAATTTGTTTTTAAAATACCTAAGGTTGGAAGGCAGCTTAGTTTTATCAATAATAATAATAATAATAATAATAATAGGAATAAAACCGTGAGGGTTAATTGCAAAGAACTAATCATGCCTTTGGGTGCATCACCATGGAGTTTCTCAGAGGTAGAAACTGAAAGACAAGTAGATCTATTAAAAAACCTTCAGTCTATGTAAGAGGGAAAATTTGCTGTATGAGTCCAATGCAAAAGAAGTGTGCACAAAAAATGGTGCACTGAAAAAAAAAATGGTGCACTGTTTCATTCTAGAGGACTGCAGCCAGATTTCTCTGCAACTTTCTCTTAACACATGTTTCTTACATGAACCTTTATATTTTTATGTTAATTTTTAAAAGTCTAATCGACCAGGTTGTTAACAGGACAGCTTAGTACATCAGAATATCCATGGCCCTTGTGATATTCAGAATTAGGATCAGAATCAATTCTGAGACTTCTATTTTCTGTGTGATGCTTTGGGGTCATAGACTTTATTTATCATTTTTTCTTTTTCTTGAGACAAGTCCAGGCCAGCCTTGAACTCGTGACAATCCTCCTGCCTCAGGCTCCCGAGTGCTGGGATGGCAGTGTGCACCTCCACGCCTAGCTTCCTCTGTGATTTTGGCTTAGCTACTCAGCCATATTGAGCCTCAATTTCCTCATCTCTAAGGGCTGGTGGCTGTAACACCTGAGTCACACAGATAAGAGCATTATTACAAGAAAAAATATCACAACAAGTACCCAGCAAGTGCTAACGCTTATCTTTGATAAACAACCACCTGGCAAACACAAGGACCTGAGTTCAATCCCTGGGTCCGCAAAAAAAAAAAACCATACTAGGGGCTGGAGAAATGGCTCAGTGGAATAAGTGCTTCCCTGGCAAGCACAAGGGCCTGAGTTCAATCCCCAGTTCCAAAAAAAAAAAAAAGAAACCTCATGGTAACACAGAGTTAGGGTCATGTTTAAAATACACCTGAACTAAAGTAACTACACCTAGAATAGGCTTATAATTATCTCAGCACCCCTCACTGTTTGGGGGAAAAAAAAAAAGCCTAATTTTCAAAACCTATTCCTGTACTCAAACAATCAAGAGTTAGAGTTTATTTCTAAAATGACAAATGAGGGCCAGTGAGATAGCTCAGCAGACGAAGCGCCTGTTTAGGCAAGTGCAGGGACAGGGGTTTGATCCCTGGCACCACATGCCACGCTGGCCACTCACCTGGGTTTGCTGAGCCGGCCAATGAGACCAGGCGTGGTGGCACATGCCTGTAATCCCAGCACCGGGGAGGGTAAAAACAGGAGGATCACTACGAATCCGAGCTGCATAGTAAGACCCATAGCAAATATATAAAAAAATTAAAAATAAAATTACAAATGAGTATATAAGAAGACAGGGTTTTCCTGAGATCATCCTTTTTCAAAGTGTTTGGGTTTTTCTATATAGTCAAAAGGGTTGAATTTCAGCTATTTCTTGTTTATTTGTTCAACTTGGAAACCATTTATTTAAAGACTGCCTAAATAGGACACACAGTACTTCCTTGGGTGGAGATAATTAAATACATATGGATATTTATCTGATGCTTACTGACATCAAGCGATATAGAGGAAAACTTCATCCAATTCCATTTTAAGGAGCATTCCCTTGAGTTTGCAATTGGAATAAAAGTGTTGCCCTATACAGGGTTAACGTACACTTTTGCTCCAGAAATCTGAAGGATTTTTTAAAAAGATTTATGTATTTATTTATTTATTTGGTACAGAGTCTCGCTATGCAGCTGGGACTTGTAGTGATCCTCCTGTCTCAGCCTCCCTAGTGCTGGGATAACAGGTGTGCACCACTGTTTCGGTAATCGACTTGGCTCAGGGCATGTGCTACCAGGGATCAAACCCAGGTCCTTGTGCTTGGCAGGCAGGCGCTTAGACCACCAAGCTATCTCCCTGGCTCCCTGAAGGATATTTCATTGTTAAAAATAATGAACTTCTGTGCTTTACAGTTCTCCAAGCTGAGATTATAGAGACTGGCAATGCGACAGATTTGAATGACTGATCGCTGTTGTGGATCTGATAATTGCCTGATGCCATGTACCAGTTCATTCTGCAGAGAAGCAGTAAGTGGCCTTCACGTGGCAAAGGCCTCATTCCTTATGGTACAGAACGTGACTTCATAAAGGCAAGGCCTGCTCTCAAGTGACAGTTTCTACAGACATAAAGGACAAGAACCACAGAGCTAGTTCAGGGAGGTCATAGTGCAGGACTAGACTGGGCTTGAGTCCTAACATCATCAGCAAGCATCCTAAGCACAAGGGTGCTTAGCTGGAATGAAAGACAGACACGGCCTTCTGGTCCTCTGTGCAAGGGGCAGCCCTTGCAGTGCGCAGTGCCAGCCCTTAAAGCCTTCCCAGTGAGAGATTTGGGTTGCAGCCTTAGCTCCACTGTTTCTGAGCTGTGTGGCCACAGCCAGGGATCCCACCCTGGACCTCCCTTTCCTCCTCCAGAAAGCAAGGCCATGTAGTCTAAATTGAAGAGGGTGCCAGAAGATGATCATGAGTGAATTACAGCTCCTGTACGCCCAGCAGGTCACCTACGTTCTTAGGGCCTCAATGGCTCACTGGCAACATGAGAATAGTGATGCTGATTAGGTTTTAATGAGCATCATCACATCAACTAAGCCACATCACAAGAGGAAGTTATCACTCTCTGTCCATGAGGTGGATAGTAAGTACAAGCCTTCTCTGCAGAATAATGAGTACAACCATAACTGCTGTTGTATTTATCTGGAAAATTAGATAAGCTAATATACAAAACAGCATTTTCAGGCTGGGGAGGTATCTTGGTGGTGTAAACACGAGCCTGACAAGTGCAAGTTCGATCCCCGGTACCATATGCCTAGCCGTACCAGAACCCCAGGCATGCTATGCCAGCCAACAAAATTGGGCCTGGTGGCACATGCCTGCAGCCCCAGTGCTGGGGAGGCTGAGATAGGAGGATCACTATGAGTCTGAGCTATGCAGTGAGACCATGAAATAGATAAATAAATCTTTTTAAAAGAAAGCATTTTCATAACTATATAGCACTATTATTTAAACAGTAAAAATATGACTCTAAACTATCTAGGGTAGCTTGGTTTATCTGGAATTCTTCAAGATTCCTAAGATCAGCTTCGGTATCATTAAGTATAAGGGCTTGCACAAAGCAGGTACTCAATTCCCAGCTTTTGAATGAACCTCCAGGGTGGCCTGGTGAGTAATGGAATATTAAAATGAGATCACAATTAGTCACTCTCTAATTTTCTCTCAGGCTATAAAGGAATTTTTATCAGCAAGGTTTTACATTTTATATAAACTTCCTGACTGCCATAATATATACGGGAACAGTCTGTTAAAGATAGCTTTACTTTTCATGGAGGCCTTTCCTGGAGCTATCCAGGATTGGGAAAAAAAAAAAAAAATCTTCTCCCTGTCTCTAAATAAGTGAAAACTTCTTCGTGTTTTCTTTCAGAGGATGGGCTGCAGGTGAGTCAGTCTTTTTCAAGTTCACTGTCCTAAGATTCTATGATAATGACATACTCAGAGTTGGTAAAGAAAAATGAAATGCAAGAACTTCCATATTGGATTCACTGGATTAGGGATAAGTAATCTTAAAAAGGGACTGGTAGCCAGTGGAGATAAACCAGGCATGGTGGTGCATGCTTATTCTGTAATCCCAGCACTCTGGGAGGCCGGGACAGGAGGATAGAAAGTTTGAGCCCAGCCTGGGCAACAGCAAAATACAAAGAGATGAGTGTCCAGATACTGGGTTCAATCTCTAGTACTGAGAAAAAAAACAAAAGAACCCCAAAAAAAAAAAAAAGTAGTCTCCAAACCCCACAAGCATTCTCTACCATCCTGTAAGTGACCATAAACCCCAGCTCCATCATTTCTAAAAAAATCCCATAACCTATTTAAGCTTCAAATTTCTTCATCTGTAAAATAGGGAGAATAAGAATATCTCCTTGTAAAGTTGTTATGAAGCTTAAGTGAGACGGTGTAGTAAAGGTCTCAGCACACACAAAGAACCCATAAGTACACGTGCAGGTAGGCCCTCCACCTTCACTGAGTGTCTACTTTGCAGCTGCTGTCAGCCCAGAAGCTCTTCTTCGAGCAGAGGATGAGGTTCAGAGAGGTTCCTAAAGTTTGTTTGCTCAGAATTTAGAGCCTATTCCCATATTAGCCATGTCAAGATCTCAAGATCCCTTATGATCTTTTACCTTAATCATGTTCTCTCTCAGTCTTGGTTCCCATTCCCAAGGAGAAATCCTCAACATCTT